TGTGATTAATTGACTTAATATTGTCTTTGAGATCATGCCTATGAAGAATTCTTCCTCAAGTCCATGTTAACATTCTTTCTGGAGAAAACCCAAAGGCTTTAAATCATTTACTTATGTGGGTCAGAGTGCAGGAGCAAAAAGGGGGCATCAGGAAGCCAGTTGACCCTGTCAAAGGTTGAGTTAAAGAAAGGCCAGGGAAGAGGAAATGTAACCAGCTAAAACAGAAAAGTTATTTAGTTTAGCACAGGGTTGAATCCAAATGATTGGCTACATATACTCTTGTAGAAACATTTATAGTTTGGCAGAGACCAAATTAAAAAAAGAAGAAGAATGTGCTGCTCTTGCATCTGAGATAATAGCAGAAGTTGTGATCTTTGTTGGCTTATATGCACAAATATTGTTATGGTGTTTCAGCCTTATAAAAATGAGTAGGAAATGGCTCACTACAAAAAATCCAGAAATGAAATCTGATCTTGTGATTTTTACTGACCTCTGCAATGTGGGGAAACTTTTTCAGGTGTCACTTAGCCTGGAAGATATTATCTTCCTGCCAAAAGTCAGATGATCTATAGAACACTCCCAATGCCCCAAATTGAGGAGAGCATTCTAGGTAGGAAGCAGCTGCCCCAGGCATTTTATTAAGTGTCTAGTGGAGGTGCCTGGGCTTCCTTAGCTGCCAGCCTCATACAAACCTGCAGAGCAGTAAATTAGGAGCAGCAGCTATTAGGGCTATAAAAATCCAGTACATGAAAGTTTGTGCATAAAATCTAAATTCTGAGTAATTACAGTGAAAGACACTGAGGAGTTAGACTAAAACAAATGACCATTTTTATTTGTACCATTACACAAGGAAGGACCAGGACTAAAAACAGGAAGCAGATTGAGATCTTTCCCTAAATTTGTTATTGTTGCTGTTAAGTGCCATTGAGTCAGTTCCAACTCATAGTGACCCTGTCTAGGGTTTCCAAGGAGTGGCTGGTGAGTTTGAACTGCCGATTTTGTGGTTCAAACTGATCTTGCGATCAGCCCAATGCTTATCCTATAGCACCACACCAGGACATTAATCAGCCAATAGGAACCCTGGTAATGCAGTGGGTTAAACATTGGACTGCTAATTGCAAAGTCGGTGGTTCAAAAACACCAAGCACTCTGCAGGAAAACAGTGTGGCAGTCTGCTTCTGTAAAAATTTACAGCCCCTGAAACTTTATGTAGGCGTTCCACTGTGTCCTATAGGATTGCTAAGAGCCAGAATTGCTTGGAAAGTTGTGGGTTCAGTTTTTGTTTGAGGAATCTGCAATGAAAACCCTGTGATGAAAATAGTCTTCTTTGCAATAGAGCATGAGGAATGGGGAGCATTTTATTTCATTGAGCATGGGTTTCTCATGCAGTCAGAGGCAATCCATTGGCAGCTACCAACAAGGGATTTATCAGCACTCTAGACAGAATGTACACAAGTTAATGACAGAGACAGTTGTATGTTATCTGTAATCAGGTGTGTGTCTATATACCTAAGGGTGATATGTACATTTACACGTGTGTGTGTTTAAGTATCAGTCACATATCAAATCCCACTGCTCAGAAGTGGGTATCTGAATCACTGTGATGTTGTTGTTGTTGTGTGCCGTGGAGTTGGTTCCAACTCATAGAGGCCATGTACAGGGTTTCCGAGGCTATAAATCTTTATGGGAGCAGAACGCCTCATCTTTCTCCAGCAGAACAGCTGGTAGTTTCGAACTACTGACCTTGCGCCTCGCAGCCCAATTCATAACCACTATGCTACCAGAGCTCCTTAAGCACTGTGATGGTAGGAATTAAAATCAGAATCTAGATTTGCCTTGGGTGTGGATGGGATGGTGTGTCTTGGCTGTGGCATAATCTTAGCCTTAAAGTAAAACAAAACAAAACAGAAAAACAGTTGTTGACCAAAGTAAGTCATTGAGACCCCAGCATTCCACTGGTGTTCACGACTGTGACCTCTGGATACCTTTTGGTTTGTTTAATGAATAATACCATCCAGAGACTCCAACATAATATAATCCAATGTAAGCCTTAACGTACTTAAATTATATATGTTGTTTATGTTGTTGTTGTTAAGTGCTGTTAATTCAACTCCAACTCATAGTGTCCTGTGTAGGGTTTCCAAGGAGTGGCTGATGAGTTTGAACTGCCAACCTTACAGTTAACAGTCCAGTACTTATCCTACAGCACCACACCAGGACTCCAAACTACATATATGGTTTGTTGCAAATATGCCTAGTCATTCTCAGTGAATCTTTCTGTTATCATTATAAAATTCTAGGTTAAAGACATCTTTAAGGCATTGTTTATGATGGTTAATAGATAAAGGTAGATTTCTGGAAATAATTACTATAAAACTGCCAGGACCAAGGAGCCAAGAAAGGGCACAGCTGATAATCAGCAACCCTTGCAGCATGTGCCAAACAAGATCAAGTTCTGAGTGTGTCACAGTGTTGGAAGAAAATCATTAAAGGGTTCACTTTATCCCTCAAATCTCAAGAAGACACATTACCAAGTGATGTAAAGGAGTCTGAATTGCTCACACAAGAAACAGAATAAATACTTTCCTGGAAAGCTAACTTGAGATAATCATTTCTGTTACACTCCCACCTTGCTTCAAAGACCCGAGAATGCTTGATTGTACTTCATAGAGCTAGAAATTATGTTCTTAAATTAAAGATGAAGCAAGAAGTGAAGCTGTACATGCTCAAGATGGTCAGACAGATTGAAGGCTTTGCACAAAGGCTGGACATCACCCAATGAGAAGCAACAAGGCAACAAAAGTTCTGGACTATGTTCAAACCAATTGCCTTACTCTCAAGCTGTGCTCCTCTAGCTGGGGTCTTGTTTAATATTAGGTCAAAGTTGTGACCTTTATCTTTGGTGTCTTAAGTGGCATAGGATACAGTTTAAGAACCAGAGCATTCATTCTGTTTAATTGACACTAAATAACATAAAATACAACAACACTAATAGCGACAATTCGTTGTCAACCATGTTCCTGACATCACGCTTCATGCATTATTTGTATTCTCATTTTGAATCTTCACGATGTAACAATAATAATACTAAATGTGTATAGTACTCACTGTGCATCAGAAACTGGTTCCAACACTTTACAATATTGTTAATGTTCAAAACTGCCCCATAAAGTCCACCACTCATCTGTCCATTTGCCATCATACAGGGGTAGTTTGATCAGTTGGATTGATATCTGTTAATTGATTTTTCAGAAGTTGATAGCCTGCCCTTTCTTTCTAGTCCATCTTAGTTTGGAAGATCTATTGAAAGTTGTTTAGCATCACAACAAAATGTAAGTCTTCAATGCCAGATGAGTGGTGGCTATGTAAGAGAATCATTGGCCAAGAATCAAATCCCAGTTTCCTTTGTGGAAGGTAAGAAATCTACTATTGTATTATCATGGATCTGACAGGTAGGTTCCCAAAACTTCTTTTTTCTCTTTGTTAAACATTACGTATAAGACTGTACTATTATTGCCCAAAGAATCTGAGGAAATTGAATTATTGCATAATAGATACATTCTCGATTTCCAAGTAACACAAAACCTAAATGGAAAATAATTTCTGAATTCTCAGTTTACTTCTCAAATCACATGTGCTCTCTTCGGCTTCAGAGAAGACTATGGGCTTATACTACATTACCCAACAGAAATAAGACAAGGTTTCTAAGAAGCCTCTGACTACTGCCCTGCATTACCTACTATGAGACATTTTCACCACAGTGGATTTAGAAGATCTAAGACTCGTTTGTTTTTTTTAGTTCTGCGAATTCTGTCCACCACAGGCTTCTTCTTTTACACCACCCACACACAAGACAGTGCTTGGATGAGGAAAAGTCGTGTAAATGTCTCAGCATAAATGCGAATTTGAATGTGTTCCAGAGTCAAACACAAATGCTTTTAGGATGGTGGTGATGGTATGCTGTGGAGTCGGTTCCAGCCCATAGAGGCCCTGTACAGGGTTTCCGAGGCTGTAAATCTTTACACGAGCAGAAAGCCTCATCTTTCTCCCATGGAACGGCTGATAGTTTTGAACTGCTGACCTTGAGGTTAGCAGCCTGACTTTTTTCTTCACATTTCTTCACATCTTTTGATCCTCATATATTGTTATTAAGTGCTGTCTAGTCTGTTGACCATGCCATTAAAGTGGACTTTGCATTCCAGAGCATTAACCCATACAAGGTCTCATATATTAAGATCAGCACTGGACTGCTGTGTGGTGTGGCGCTGTAAGTTAAGCAACGGAGTGTGAACCACAAGATCAGCAGTTCAAACCCACCAGCTGTTCCTTGGAAACCCTATACAGACGCACTATGAGTCAGAACTGACTTGATAGCATCTAACAACAGCAAAAACACAGCTACAAAGAAATGAGCTTCCAATCACCATGTGAAGGATGCTAGAGCATTATAATTCATTCACTTAGGGCTTTATTGTTTGCAAAAAAGATTCTAAAACCAAAAATTATTTTTATATTTTCCTAATTTAAACCTCAGAGTCCTACAGTGATGCTGCAGGATAAGCACTGGACTGCTAACCACTAGGTTGGTGGTTCAAATCCACCAGCCACTTCTTGGAAACTTTATACAGGAACTGACTCAGTGACACTTGATAACTACAATAAGGAATTGGGATTGTGGTGGCTCTGTAAGGTAAGCACTGATTGGCAATTTGAAGCCACCAGCCACTCCAAGGGGAAAGATGAGGTTTTCTGCTCCTGCAAAGATTTACAGCCTCAGAAACCCTACACAGGGTCACTATGAGTTGGAACCGACTCGACGGCACTTAACAACAATAAGGAACTGTGTTAGTGGGTACATTTATTTTTAAAAAATAACTTTTTCTTTAAAAATAAATATTTTCAATGGCAAATAAGCACATGATGTTTACTATGGAAGCAAACTTGCAAATAATTAAATTAGAAGCAGTATACTATGAAGAATGTAAAATTAAGTGTAGTACCTTGATGTGAAAGCCAGTTTCAAGATTTGATTTGTTGATAAAACTGTATTCTGGTATTCCCCAGCCAATTTCACCAACATAGTTGTGTCTGTATTTTGCTGGTAAGCCTCTACATGGGTCAGGCCTACATAAATATCTGAGATCTCCAGTTTTCTCAGCGACTGGACGCTTTTCGCCTATGTAGGAAGAGTGCTGATGAATCTTAGGTAGATGATCTGTTATATAATCTGGGCCTTAGAAAGACAAGAGGGGGGAAAAAAAGCATTATTAAAAAAACAATAATCTCCACACTTTATTTTAAGATGTTTTTGCTATTTTAACGGTGGAAATAATAATAGCCAATGATTATATGGCACCAACAGCCACTCTTTGGGATCACGGTGAGTTGGGACCTACTTGATGACACTTAACAACAATAACACTAGGTTCCAGGAGTCCCTGGATGGTACAAGTATTTATTGTGCCTGCCTCGTAACCAGTCTGTGATATGCTGATGATTTAACCTTGCTTGCTGAAAAAGAAGAGGATTTAAAATACTTAACTGATGATGATCAAAGACCACAGTCTTCAGTATGAGTTTTACCTCAATGTAAAGAAAACAAAAATCCTCACCACTGGAGCAATAAATAACATCATGATAAATGGAGAAAAGATTGAAGGTGTCAAAGACTTCATTTTGCTTAGATTCACCATCAACACTCACAGAAGCAGCTGTCAAGAAATCAAAGGATATATTGCACAAGGCAAATCGGCTGTACAAGACCTCTTTAAAGTGTTCAAGAACAAAGATAAGCAGTTCAAAGACTAAAGTACACCTAACCCAAGCCAAAGATTTTCAGTATCTACAACACATGTGTATTAACATGATTTTAAACAAAGCAGCTTAGTGTGGCTCTTAAGAAACCAGTCTTTCAGGCAGCCTTTAAGTCTAGCTCTGATGACCTGGTGTGATGCTGTGGGTTAGTGTGCTGGACTGCAAGGTCACTTTGAATTTCAAGGTCAGTGGTTCAAACTCATCAGCCACTCCTCATTAACACTATATAGGGTCGCTATGGGTCAGAATCGACTCGACAGCCCTTAACAATAACCACAACATGGGTCATAATGACTCAATGGCATTTAATAACAACATAATAAAGAACTTGGTAGCTGTGACTCTGGACAAGTAACCAATCTTTTTGTGCCTTATTTTCACTAACTAGAAACTGGGGAAAATAATGCTACCTATTATTTGGAGAAAAGATTGATGTTGTCAAGGTCTTCATTCTTCTTGGATCAACTATCAA